GAGCCCAGGAGTTGGAGGTTGCTGTGAGCTGTAATGCCACGGTACTCTACCCAGGGGGACAGCTTGAGGCTCTGTCTCAAAAAAAAAAAAAACTAAGTGGCAGGCAGCTTCAGGACTGACAGGGAAGCTGGAGAGCCAGAGCTAGGTGCAGTGGGGATGTGTCTTACGACGTCCTTCAGGGAGCCAGGGGGCATGCAGGGCTGTTATCTGTCCTTGGGGCCCTCTGGATCAAATCCCAGGAGAGGGAGAATCCCATCACTCACTCAGGTGGCATTGCCCACCCCACGGCTTTAGGGGTGGTCACGATTGACAGTCCTACCAAGACAGGACCAGGAGGGCGTGTTCCCCTCTGGAGAGTTGAGGGGCTCTCCCCAAGTCAGTGGAGTGGGGATGCTGGGCAGCAGGAGCTGTGGGGTCTGCAGCTCAGTCTTAGGGCTCTAGCTCCAGCGGACCACAGCCCCTGTGAGAATTCCTTGCAGTCCCTGCCTGGGTGTGGCTGGTGTCGGTGTGTCCATGTGCATTGACCCAGAAGCCTCTACCATCATCACTCCCCCACCCCCCACCCCAATCTGCAGAAATCCAGCATCCTCACCCGAGCCGGTGAGCAGCGCAAGCGCAGCCAGTCCATGAAGTCCTACCCCTCGAGCGAGCTGCGGAACATGTGTGATGAGCACATTGCCTCCGAGGACCCAGCGGAGAAGGAGGACCTCCTACAGCAGATGCTGGAGAGGAGGTGGGTGCAGCAGCTGTGCCACTGCTGCCTGCGGGTCCCTGTGGAAGTAACCTGTAGCTCAGATGTTGTGAGGCAGCTCCTGAGTTTCTTGGGAATTTGGGGAGTGGGTTGGGGACATGGTCCTGCCGAGGGCATCCCAGGCAACATCTGGTTTTTGTGTCACAGATACACTCCCTACCCCAACCTGTACCCTGACCAGTCCCCGAGTGAAGACTGGACCATGGAGGAACGCTTCCGCCCTTTGACCTTCCACGGTCTGATCCTTCGGTCGCAGCTTGTTACCCTGCTTGTCCGAGGAGTTTGTTACTCTGAGAGTCAGTCGGTAAGCCTCTCTTACTAGCAGCAGGATCCTGGAAGGCAGGAACGTGACAGGAACACAGTCCTTGCACTTTAGGGAAAGGGACGTGGGGTTTTGGGAGTTCACGTGTCAATGGCTGCCATTGTGTGGAATGGCACGCATAGCCTTACGGCTCCTCTGCAGCTGTCCATGTCTCTAGGTGACGCCCAGCAAGGGGACACAGTGCAGGGAGGAAAACATGAGTCCCTCCAAGTGGTCCTCACTTTGTCTCTGCACCATGTGCTGTGTGCTCTCCTGGCCTGCAGACTTTTAATCCAGTTCCTATATTCTAATTTCTGTCATGAATGAACTTTCGTGTATTATCAAAAAAAATACCATTCTTCCTGTCTGGTCCACTGCAGTTCTGTTCCTCCCTTGGTTTTGCCTTTTTTTTTAAAGACAGTTTCTCACTTTGTTGCCCAGGCTAGAGTATTGTAGCATCACCCTAGCTCACAGCAACCTCACACTCCTGGGCTCAAGCAGTCGTCTGGCCTCAGTGTCCTGAGTAGCTGGGACTACAGATGCCTGCCACAATGCACAGCTAGATTTTCTATTTTTAATAGAGACAGGGTCTCACTCTTGCTCAGGCTGGTCTCAAACTCCTGACCTCGAGAGATCATCCTGCCTCAGCTTCTCAGAGTGCTGGGATTACAGGCTTGAGGACCCGGCCTCTTGTTTGGTTTTTAGAGATGAGCAGGGGTGCACAAGGTACTTGGGGTAGTCCCTGAGGCCTGAGCCCTTCTCACTCTCACACACATTGTCTCCTTAGAAGGAGATGGGCAAAGTCACCCAAAGACCATTTCTAAAGGCCTCTCCTGGTTAGGGTCTGGGCTCTGAGAGGTTGGCCTGAAGTCACCTGTGGTCCGATTGGCCTACAGGAGAGCTGTTAACATGGGGTGAGGCCCGGGCAGCCTGGCTGGAGGGGGTGGAAGGTGCATGCAGCACAAGGGCATGAAGCCCAGAGTGTGGGCCGGATCCCGGAGGCCCTTCCTGGATTGGGGCGAGGGGGCGGGTGCTGCCTGTGGGCAGCGGATGGCAGGATGGGGAAAGCCATGTAAAGTTGAGGTGTGCAGAGTGGAGCTGGGGAGGAAGATGCTGCTACAGGGGAGCTGTGCCCTCATGTCCAGGGACAGCAGCAGTGAGAACTGGAGTGGAGGGAGAGTGTCAAAGCCAGCACTGCTCTCCACGGACGCTGCGTCAAATGGTCACAAACTGGATAGCTTGAAACAAGTTTATTCTTTCACAGTTCAAGGCCAGAAGTACAAAATCCAGGTGTCACCAGGGCCATGCTCTGAGGGCTTAGGAGAGGCTGTCCTTGCTTCTTCCTAGCTCACAGTGGTCACCTGCATCCTTGGCACTCCTTGGCTGTAAGACAGGTCACTCCGGGCAGCGCCTGTGGCTCAGGGGAGTAGTGCACCGGCCCCATATGCTGGAGGTGGTGGGTTCAAACCCAGCCTTGGCCACAAACTGAAAAAAAAGACAGGTTACTCCAGCTTTGCTTCCCATGTCAGGTGGTATTCTCCGTGTGTGTCCTCTCCCCTCTTGTACAGACACTTGTTGCATTTCAGGCCCACCCTAATCCCACGTGACCTCATTTTGATATGAGTCCATCTGCAGAGACCCTGTTTCCAGTACAGCAGCATTCATAGGTACCAGGGCTTAGGGCTTGCCTGTATATTTTGGTAGATTCACTTCAACCCATTCTCATTCAGACTTCAAAGTATGGATCTTGCAGATGAGAAAGGGAACTTTAGAGCAATTAGTGTATGTACAGGTTGACACCACTAGGAACTGGCCGAGAACTGGCTTTGGGAGGAGCTGTCTCACTCCAGAGCGCCCTCTGCTGGCCCTTGCTCTGCACCGCCGCGGGGGCGTGGCTAGTCGGAATCAGACTTAAAGAGGGAGGGGCTCTAAAGGTGACCCTGCCAGCCGCTGCTGCTCAGAGCAAGGACAGCGTCTTGGTTGTTCTGGTTGGAATTGTAGAGCGCCAACCAGCCCCGCCTTTCCTATGCCGAGATGGCCGAGGATTACCCGAGGTACCCCGACATCCACGACCTGGACCTGACGCTGCTGAACCCACGGATGATTGTGGTAAGAAGGGCTGGTCCCACCCCCACCCACTGTGCACGGAATGCGCCCATCCATGCCGTTGGCGGCTCAAGCTGCAGGTGATGTGTACTGTCTCTCCTGCAGGATGTCACCCCGTACATGAACCCTTCGCCCTTCACCGTCTCACCCAACACCCACGTCTCCCAAGTCTTCAACCTGTTCAGAACGATGGGCCTGCGCCACTTGCCCGTGGTGAATGCAATGGGAGAGGTGAGGCTGCATCCGGGTGGAGGACAGAGGAGCCGGGTGGGTTCTTGTCCTCACCTTTGAGAAAAGACCTTATAAACAGTCTTTGGGTGGGTCGGGGTGGCTCTCAGCAGGAGCTGGCCCAGGCCAGGTGGCTTTGAAAACTCTTATCCTTGAGCTCCCGTGTGTTTGGGACCCCGACCCCTGTCTGGCCAGTAGATGGCGCCACTGGCCTGGTGGCCTTCCTTTCCCGGGCGGAGGGCGCAGAGCAGGACAGTCTCTTCTCTCTGTGTCTTCTGGTTCCTGACTTCTCTGCGTTGGTCTGTTCCCCACCTGTTATGGAGATTCATATCATTAAATGAGAGAATTTCAAGCAAAGTAGGAGTTTTACATAGATAGAACATCCAGTGATTATAGCAGCAGACTTTTCGTTTCTTTTTAGAACTTCATTATTTTCTTATACAAAATTATTGTAGAAGTATCTGATAATATAGATGAACAAAAAACAAAATCCAAAAGCCCTTGTCCCTGCCCTGTAGAGCTAGCCACAGCCCCCGCTTCTCCAGGCCTTTCAGCCTCCTGTGGGCCCGTCATAACCCAGCGCCGCCCAGCAATGCCCTCAGGTCTAGTCGCCGTAAATGACAGTTTCTTGAAACAGAACTGCTGGCCACACTGACAAGTTCTAACACATCTTAGAATATAACTTTGGGCTGCCCAACATCAGTGACAAGCAGGAGCTGCTATGTTGGACTGAGACAAATGACTCATGGGTTATTTGGGCAAGGTGGTGAGTATAAGATGCAGCAGGGGTCAGACCTCCTCCACACATCTGTGGAGCAGGCTGGGCATGGTGGGAGCTGGAGCTCGTGCCCTGTTTAAGAGTGTTCCAGTTCAGATGTTAGCTGGCCCAGTCCTCTTTTGAAGCTAAGCGTGTCCCCTTGGCCTCCAGTTTACAAGCCCTGCTTATCTGTTTGTCCTGATCATGCCGTGTCTGGCTCTTCCCTGATCCTCCCTCTCTCTCCATGTCCTGTGACAAGCTGGTGAGCTGGCTCTTCTCCACCCTGTTCTTGCCAGTGGGTTTTATCCTGGCTGGTAACTTAGGCCTTTCTCTCCTTGTCCTAGATCGTTGGGATCATCACACGGCACAACCTGACATACGAATTTCTGCAGGCGCGACTGAGGCAGCACTACCATACCATGTGACCAGCCAGTGTGGCGCTGCCTGGGGTGGCAGCTTGCTCTTACTCCAGCTGGCATAGGTGGCTGAGATTGTTCCAGGGCATGGAAGATACCTAGTCACCCTCTCTCTCAGAAAACCTACAGTCATTGGACACTTTGCTGGTCAGAGAACCTGGTGTTGGTTTAGAATCATCAGCATCTGAACTTCTTTCACTTCCTCAGCAAGTATCTTCCCATCTCCTGCTCCCCATGTTCCTGCCATCTGGGTCAGAACAGGCCATGCTATTCTCTACTAGAGTCAGGACCATAGGTGGAAATCAGGCTAACTTCAAGCCGTGTACCTTTTCCATCTGAGAACCCAGCTGTTTCCTTAAGTGTATGGAATGGACTTTGGCCAAGGCAAACACTGGGGGTGGGGAGGGGAGAGTTGCCAGTTGCAAAATTAAGTTAATGACTAAATTTAAGAATTGGACACTGAGAAAATTCTCCATGTTTCAGGGAAGTCTTCCTTTGCTGTGACTCTTAATTTAGCACCTTAGTTCATTCTGCTTCCTGGGTGTGGGCAGGGGTCCGGCCTTGCACCTGTGGTCTGAGTCTCCTTGGAGCCCCCACTCACCAGCAGCAGAAAGCATTAAGGCCCCACCGATTAAGTGGTAAATCTGAGAAGAGGGTCAGATTTTTGTCTGCCTTAGTTTGTAAAATTTCAACTTTCTTTCCATTTGCAAATAATTTGTGGTCTCCTAGGAACAATTTCTGCCCTGGTTTTGTTCATCTCTTTAGCTATTAGATTTTCCTTCAGTTTTTATCCTGGTGAAAGAGCCACAGCTCAAAGGGTTTTGGCCTCACCTGCCAAAGTTGGCTAAAAGCAGGGCATCCCTGAACTCTGGGGAATGGTACCGCTTTTTCCAAGATGGAAAGGAGACACTCCTGAGCCCGTGACCATTTCAAGGTACATATTATGAGGAAGCATATGGTTTACTTGAGGAAGAAGATGTCTGCCCTTCACAAACATCTCTCCCTCCCCTGCTGTTCGCCACCTCCACCCTACATAGCAGCTGCAGGCAGGTTTGAGGAGGAGACTCCCTGCCAGCAGCTGCTTGCAGGTTTTACCATCAAACATAGGAACTGTCCCTTCTCTCGTGACTTCCTTTCTCTCCAGACTGGTTGGTCCCCTCTGACCAGGCACCCAAAGTGAGCGTCCAAGCATCAGCCCCTGGCAGGTGTCTTCTCCTAACTTCCCTTAAGGGTTTATCCGCATCTTGGTCCGGGGAAATTGTATTTTGGGACCCAAGATGGCATTCATTTGCATTTAGTTTTTTTCAAACCATGCAAGTTGCCTGCCAGCCTCGGCGCCTGTTCTCTAGGCCTCAGTCTCATGCTGACTTCCTTTGCCAGGCTCACTATAGGGAATGTCCTGACCCCCCTCACTCAGCGAAGGGCTGTTCCAGGACCCTTCCCAACTGACTGGCCCCTCCAGTCTCCTCATCCCCTAACCTCTTTGATCAAAGTGACTTTGACTTGTGAGTTTTTCCCTGGATGCACCTGACTTGTGAAATGGGGATGAGACTCCCAATAAATAGTTCAGGAAACGCCAAGCACCAAAAAGGCAAGCCCTTTTAAACGTGACCGTGTTCAGTGAGCTGCCGCTTTATGGCATGGAAAGCTTTTGTAAGAAGGAAACCACTTGTTCCAGCCAGGAGAGTGGCGTGACCACCCATCACAGACATATCACCCTTCTCTCTACCCCTCCCTGGAACTGGCAGAGCTAATGCCCTGCAGGAGGACCCCTGGCCTTGGGAGGGCCGGGTCACTGGCCACTTTCTTCCAGGCTGCCACCAGTGAATATTGTCGGAACTTATCCTCCGTGCACATCGTGCTGTGTTTAAGTCGCCAGAGTTTTGTCCCATCAGTTTAGCCCAGAGATAGTAGAATGCAAATGCCTCCTTCCCCCTGAGCCAACTGACTGGATGGCTGCCAGGGGGACCCAGACCCGGCGCCTCTGCGAAGGCATGTGGTTTCTCGTCCTCTTCTCTCTGCATCTGCCCTTTCCAGATAAGCCCAAAGACGACAACTTCTCACTCGTGACCCGTAACTGTAAGCTTTGCTGCTTTGATTTCTGTATATTAGAACGCAGCATTTTCTGCATCGCACCTGTTAACCTGCCCCGTTGGCTACCAGTGATAAGGCACCTCAATAAAGCAGCAATCCTCAGGGGCATCTGGGGGTGGCTGGAGGTGGTTTTTTGTGTTTTGTCTCCAGTGTGGTGTTTCGTGGCTCCCCAGCTGGGGTGATTAGGGAGCGGGGCTGCCCAGGTCCCTGTTCCTGACCATGAGGACTTTGCGTTCTGGGGGATGAATTGTTCATGACCCCATCTAACTAATAGTCCCCAGCTGGAATGGACGTCTGTTTGGCCCAGCCTGCCATCTGCCATTTCTGATGCAGGACTGTGCACTGACATAGCCCTGAGTGACTAGAAAACGTCTAAAAGGCTGGGGCAGCCCTGGGCCCTACAGTATTGATGGACAGTATTGCCCCCAGCTCCTGTGGACCTTGGTCATTCCAACAAACGCAGCTTACCTTTTCTGTTTGCACTGTTGCTATGGTAATGTTAGCTAATCCCACTGTGTATATAAATTGTATTTTTTTTAATTTGTAAAATGCTATTTTTATTTGAACTTTTGAAACTTGGAAGTTCTTGTAACCGTAACATGTCAGAATAAAACATCTCCATCTGTGTCCTTTAGTCTTTTATCTCCAATGCTCTTCTAGTGGTTCTTTTTATTTCGTTTCCTCTCTAATATGTAAAACTTGCAGCCCCAGGAAGTAGTCCTGTAGTCTCAGAGCTCCTATGGAGCTGCCCAGGCAGGCTCTTTGTTCAGGGGTCCACCTACCCTTAAGGGGCTACTACCTTCCTCAGACTGAATTTAGTCCTGAATCTCAGCCGGAGACACTTGAGTCTCCCCTGTTTTGTTTCTCCCTTCAAATGAGCGCCAGTCTTGGTTATTGCTCCAGCCCCTTTTCCTGCCAACGGCTGCTTCCCAGAGCACCAGATGGCAAAACACGACTTCCTCGCAGAGCTGTGCTTAGGAACTTCCCTGCCAACAGAGTCCCCTGATGTCCACCCAGAAGAAGTGGAATCAGTGCTGGTTGGCAGGGGGGAAGGCTGTGGCTGGGTCTATAGGGGGGAGGCCTGGCTGGGTCTGTTGGGGGGGGCTGACTGGGTCTATAGTGGGGAGGCCTGGCTGGGCCTGCAGGGGGGAGGCCTGATCTATAGGAGGGAGGCTGTGAATGGGTCTATGGGGGGAGGCCTGGCTGGGTCTACAGGGGGGAGGCCTGGCTGGGTCTATAGAGGGGAGGCCTGGCTGGGTCTATAGGAGGAAGGCCTGGCTGGGTCTATAGTGGGGAGGCCTGGCTGGGTCTATAGTGGGGAGGCCTGGCTGGGTCTGCAGGAGGGAGGCCTGGCTGACTTCTGTTGTTCCTGTCTGCCACTGCTTTATTCATTTGCTTTGGTTTTGCAACAAGTGTGACTTTCTCTGTCTCTGATCTGCCCCCAAGTTGCTGTTCCGCCAGGACTAGAAACGGTTTCAGTCAATCCAGGCTCTTCTGCCTGCCTCCTGGTGTCCTCTAAATGCCAGGGACATTTTCTGCCATGGGTAGCTGTCGATTTTGGGCAGTCCCATTATGTGATAATTTTTTTTTTTTTTTTTTTTGGCCGGGGCTGGGTTTGAACCCACCACCTCCGGCATATGGGGCTGGCACCCTACTCCTTTGAGCCATAGGCACCGCCCAAGAGAATCTTGTGTTACGGTGATACTGCGGAGTGGGGGCAGCTTTCTCCCCCTCCTAGCAACCCGTGCCCCCAGCGCCAGACCTCAGGAGCCAAGTTTGGACAGGCTCATCTCTCCTGCCCTGGCTGGTCATTCTCTGCTTCCTGGTTTTCTGCCCTTTGGGATTTGAAGCCTGAGTACGGACTGTGTTGATCGGAGGTGGTCGGGTTAGAGATCTCCCCCTGCCTCCACCCCTGACCATCAGTTCACATTGGGCCTCCACTTTTCTCTGCAAGGAGCAAATTGCTACTTTACTACTTTGTTCCCTCTTTTCCCAATTTCGATACTAGACCAGGACAGTGTGACCAACATTGATGGAGCGGTGACCGGTGGTGCCGAAGGAGCATTCGCCCACATGGAGCTTCCAGTCTGGGGCCACAGACACACAATTACAACTCAGGTCCTACTTAGATGTTAAATGCCTCCTGTGGCATAATTTATATGGGGCTTATGGGATCAAGGAAGGCTTCAGGGAGAGAGTGGCATTCACAGTGATCATCAGAGAATGGAGGCAGCATCCTCGGGAGGTCGGGACAAGGAGGAAACAAGGTCGGGACTGGAGGAAACAGCAGAAATAAGGGCACAGAGGAGCACGTGTAGATGGCGGGGGGGTTGCCGAAGGATTGCAAAAACTGCAAGTGGTGTCTGGAGTTAACGGGGAAGACGGGTGAGTGTTCTACTTGTCTAAGGTGAACCCAGTGCCTGGTATTTTCAGAAGCAGATACCAAAAAAAAAGAAAAAACAAACAAACTGCATCTTTCCCAGTGGTTCTCACCTCAGTAAATACAAGTACAGGCCTGGACCCAAATTAGGGAAAGACCACAGCTGGTTTCTGAAAGGCTCGTATCAGTGCACAAAGGGCACATGAACTTGCAGTCTGTCCACACAGCAAAAGTATTTCTGTGCTTTGCTCAGCTGATAAATGCAGCACTGCCTCCTTCAAAACTGAAGGTGCAGTGCGCTCAGCTGCTACAAGGAACTCTCAAAATGTAGTTAGTACTCTCCCTCCGTCGCCCTGGGTAGAGTGCCCTGGTGTCATAGCTCACAGCAAGTTCAAACTCTTGGGCTCTACTGCTCCTCCTGCCTCTGCCTCCCGAGTAGCTGGGACTACAGGCACTCACCATGATGCCAGGCATGTTTTCCTATTTTTAGTAGAAACAGGGATCTCACTCTTGCTCAAGCTGGTCTCAAGCTCCTGAGCTTAAGCAATCCACCCAGCTCAGCCTCCCAGAGCGCTGGGATTACAGGCCTGACCCATTGTTCCTGGCCAGTACTCTCATTTTCTAAATGTGCCCCCCCAAAACACACACACACACACACACACACACACACACACACACCTATAACCAAAAAGCACTAGGAGTATAAAACTTTGCTGTTGAATACAAGCTACACTAGATGTCGCTTGATGTTTCTGAATTTCCTTTTCTATAAATAAGTGTCCTGAAGGTGAGCAAATCTGATTAAAAATAAATAAATGCCCCTTTGGTCTCCTGCAGCTTTTTCAGGGTCGGGGACTGTAGCAGGAAGAAAAGGCTGAGCAGGTAGAGAACTACAATTTGAGGCCCCCACCCCCACCCCCACCCCCACACAAAAATAATAATAATAAAAGAGGAAGGGAGGGAGAAACAAAAGGAGGGGGAGAGAAGCCGAGCGTCCTTGGCTCTGACAGAGGGTAAACTGAATTCTCATCATTCTTGGATGAAAGAAATGACACCAACTCAAGCCTCTGCTTCTATCCATGGTGCTGACATTTATTCATTTTTTTTCAAACCGCTTTCAGTAACAAGTGAGGGTCTACCTTAAATTTGAATGCATGGGGTGGAAGAGACCGAGAATTAAACCACCATATCTACATTTAGCATAAAGTATGAGAAATGTTGACAGGAAGCTGCAGCTCGAATAGGATGCTTATCACAACTCAGCTTGATGGCAAGATGAGACGGAGTTGTATGAGAGAGCCCAGGGGATGGGCCATCTGCCCGGGCCTGGTCCGCCTTTTCCTCCCTGGCTGTTATCTCCGGTACTACAAAGAAAATGCAAATGTATTTGTCTTACAGACCTGGCTCTTCTGGAAAAGTCCGCTTCACACAGGACTATGCCAAACCTCTCAACTTGACCACTGACCTGCTACTTGTCCCCAGACCCCTCTCCAGCCTGATGTCAACTTGTTGTCACAAGTTGATGTCAACAAGTTGTTCATCAGAGCTATTTTCACTTAAACCTTTCAGGATTTTTGCAGTGCTAGGAGGAACGTGACCTGCCAATCAGCCAGTGACAAGGACAGGTCACTGTGGGTTTTGTAATTTCCCAGTGCCAGTGGAAATGATGTTTTGTTTTTAGCATTTTCTTAGCAGGTTGTGGCTGAGGACAATGGACGGCATCATCCTGGGGACTCACGGGGCACCCACTAAGTTGGGGCAGAGATTTCAGAGAGAAGAAGCTTAGTTCCTTTCCTGACAGAGAAGTCCCCTGGTAATATCCTTTGACAAGGTTTGACCTTCAATAAAACCACAATTTTCTTCCTCCCCAGCCCATTTCCATCCCCAGTGCCTCTTACCCGGAAGCTGTTGCAGCCCAGTCCACTCTGGGCTCCAATCCTGTCCATCCTGCCCCCAAAGCAGCTGGACCTCCGCAGGCTCCGGGGAGCGGCGAGCAGTGCCCTCAGCTTGCTTTTCAGGAGAGCAGACCTATCGGAGGAGTCCCAGGGGCCCCGCCCCAGGGCACCCCCATCTCTCTGGGCTGGGCTGACCTCCCCAGTCCAGGGAGGAACCTCAGGGAGGGGGCTGAGAGCTGCCCCGGTTTCCTCATTCTGCTCGTTCAGAACTTCTGGGGGCACAGCCTCATCTTCTAAAGGCATCTTGTCCTCCAAATGGTCCAGCAAATTCTTTACAAGAGGAAAATACAAGAAAAGGGAGCGGTCTCACTGATTTGGGGGGAACCAAGTGGAATGAGCACAGTAGCAGAAAGCCCCCTGGTCCCAGACTGTGCCCCCTTCCCTGGCCATACCTTAAAATCCATCAGGTCTGCGCTGGACACGCCATTATACACGGGGTTCGCATCTGATACACCTGGGAGCTGAAATGCCAGGAAGAGGAGGAAGCCCACAGTGGCGACGCAGAAGGAGCCCATGCTGGTGTTGGTCACGGAACGATGTGATGCTGGCTGCCTCTCGTCTCTCTTCTCCGGCTTCCCTCTCCCGGCCTTCATCCGTCCCTGTCTCCAGGCTGCCTCCTCTTTTTATAGCCCCCCAGCTTCCCGAGCACACAAGAGGGACAGAACCCTCCCCATTCTGTCACTTGCAGCGATAAAGCGGCCAAGTGAGGAGCCAGCAGAAGATGCCCTTTTAAAGTTATCAGCCCACTGGGGCTTGTCACAGCCCCTCCGCCTTGGGCAGCCACGGCCCGCAGACCCTCGGCCACATTCTTGCTGATTTGCCTCAAGAGGCTCCCACTTCAAAGGTGTGAGAAGAGCAAAAGAGTCCTTGGTTATCTCATAGCCGGGTCTCGGGATTCTTTCTCCTTGACACGGGGACCCATGCAGGAAAGCAGAGGTGACAGTTGGCCTATGCCCAGCTCCCCCGGTTTGTTTGTGGCTCAGCTGTCATGGGCAAATAAGGGCGGGAGGAGAGGAAATGACAGGCAGGCGGCAGCTTGGGAGGAATGAACCTGGGTACTGGAGCTGCCCTCACCCTCTGTGGGGGCAGAACCTGCCCCCTGGCCGTGCTCTCCACCGTCAGGTGAAAGGGAGTTATTTGTCAGAGTATTATTAAGTCAGCCAGGAACCAAATGCAATGCTACTCTAAGAATTTAGCTCCCATGGCTCCGTGCCTGTGCCTCAGGTGGCTAAGGCGCCAGCCACATACACCTAAGGTGGCGGGTTCGAATCCAGCCCAGGCCCACCAAATACCAATAGCCGGGCATTGTGGCAGGCCACTGTGGTCCCAGCTACTTGGGAGACTGAGGCAGGAGACTTGCTTGAGCCCAGGAGTTGGAGGTTGCTGTGAGCTGTGATGCCACAGCACTCTACCCAGGGGG